CTATTATAAAGACTTTACAACTCGACTAACTCTAGCCAAGGCATAAACACACACAGGTTTAAGATTTACTAAGGGGTTCCTACAAAATGCTTCAAAACAAGCTAAGTAGGAAATATAATTGAATAACTATTACAAAGTTACAACTCAACTAAGGACATACAATAACTAGATGCAGATTCTGGTACTTAGTTGTTTTGTTATTTGTTCTTCAAGCACTTGAAACTTGCTTGCTGGATGGTCATGTGAATGAGCTTGAGTGTGATATCTAAGTGTTCAAGTGAATATATTTTACCTAATTTGATGTTAATAATACATGTGTGACTTCACATATAATGATCTAAGCAAGGTAGGTAAAAATCCTTCAATAGAAAGTTGACTACTGCACTGTTCCTGTATTTTAGCGTGTGCAGGCAGCATCTTTCCAGCTGGAGAATTGACTTCGTACAGTCACCTCGGGAGCTGGTACAGACCTGTTCCCTTAGCTGTTCCTCTATTGAGAAGAGTTGAACCACATCCCAAGTTGGAACCTTGTGATCTTAAGGTCTTGTAAATGTGTCACTGGTTCCTTGTCTGGTTTTTAATAGTATGTTTTTTAGATCATCAAAACATAAAACAAGTACTTATGACCAAAATACTTGTAACCTATCAATTTTTCCCTTTTTGATGATGACAAACCCATGATTGAAAAAACTATAAAGAGCCATATAGAACCAGATAGCGAACCAGAAACACCATAAGTTTCCCCCTGAATCTATGTATTCCCCCTTAATCAGTGCAAACCTCAATACATTTATTCTTTCCCCTTTTGGCATCATACAAATATTAGTAACATGCAATTAAGAAAGAAGGAAATCTAGCTTTAAATTAACTCGTGCCACTTATGTGCACACCGTCATGATAAAAACAGAGCATAAAAGCAAGGTATAAACAACAAAAAGAGAAAAGCTTGCATTGAAATAATTTGGATTTTATAGCAGGAGCAGAGTCAATGTTACTACCAAATCCACAACTTAGAACAATCAACAAAAATACCAAAAGTTATCATCATAAGAACTGACACTAAGGGACTGGAACACAAACTAGATTATAGACTTGACACTAAGGTCTGCCACTTTATTTATGTGCTCTATCTTGATCCTAGGCAGATTGATGGTAGTAAAGTTGTCTAGTGCTTCCATGAGGACAGGTCTGCACGAGAAGTGATGGATCTTCGCTCTGATCGAGGCAGGAAGACTTTGTTTACCATCTCAAATTGCAGTTGGTATATAGGAAGGAGAGCCTTCTATTGAACCTGTTCCCCTGCTGAACTTCTCTATCCTTTAAGATTGCGTTTCTGAAGTTTTGAGTACAAGATCCCTGAACACTAGACAACCCTTCAGCAGGCACACCAAGAATATATCCCAACAAGACAGATTCCATTACCATGTCAACTCCATTGACCAAGGCACAAATGTGACCATTTTCAACTTTGAACAAGTCGGAATAAAAACTATGAACTTCCTCCTCATATACCCTAGTAGCATCACTTGTGAACAGATGTGCCTATTGTTGGAACTGACATATTTCAACCAACTGTCTCATACAAGCCTTCTCCAAGACATCAGGGGAAAATGTGTGCCCACACAACACCTTTTGACTTCTCAATCTCTCTTTCCCAGCACTCCCCGAATCACCAACTCTGGCCTTCTTTGAGGAACAAATTTTCTCATCAGTACCAGCCTTTCTCTTAGCAGTCTTGCAAACACTCTTCTCCTTTTTATCAGACTTTACAGATTTTTCACCTAATTCTTTCAGCACATTTTTTGTTGCAACAACATTTTTAGACTTAGTCAAACTTTTAGAAGACACAGAACATCCCACTTTTGGCTTGAGAAGACCATGTTTTTGAGATAACTTTTGAGTCAACGTTGATAGAAACTAAGCGTCCACAAAACTTTATAGAGAACTAGGTTCACTATCAGTTCCCACAGTAAGCAACAAACTATAAAACCAAACAGTGTGGGGAACGGGTTCTTTATATGTTCCCAGAGTAAATAGGCAGCAAATAAAGAACACGTGGACACTGTAGTAAGTAAATGACACAGAGGAAGTTTACGTGGAAAATTCGCAGCTCAACAAGATTAAAAACCACGACGTACCCTTGTAGGATTTCAACTTCATTATAGAGAAATCTTTAGATTACAACCTATTGTAAACTAAAAATTAACTTCTTAGTCCGTCACTAACTTGTAACTACACTATTACAAGCCATTTTGTAATAACTCTATTACAAATACTTAGTCACAAACTAACTTGTAACAAACTAATACAAGCCACTTTGTAATAACTCAATTACAAAGACTTCACAACTCAACTAATTCTAGCCAAGACACAAACACAAGGGTTTCCTACACAATGCTTCTAAGTAAGCTAAGTAGGAATTAGAAGTAAGAACTTCAACAAAGATACAACACAACTAAGGACATATAATATTTAAATATGGGGAACTAGTATGTTGCCATGTTCTTCTTTGTTCTTGATGCCATTGAGAATCACTTGCAAAATAGACACACACTTGAGAGAATGCTTGATAAGTTCTTGAATGTGCAAGTGATTTTTTTAACCGTTGGTTGATGTTACTATCTCATTTGTGACATCACTTGTATGATGTAAGCAAGGTAGGTAAAAATCGTTCCACAAAAAGTTGACTGTTGCACTGTTCCTATATTGTAGCGTGTGCAGGCAGCAATTTTCCAACTGAAGATTTGACTTCATACGGTCACCTCGGGAATTGGTAGGGACCTGGCCCCTTAGTTGTTCCTTCCACTCTAAGGAATTGAACCATATCCCAAACTGGATCCCAACCTGGAAGCTTGTGATCTTAAGGTATTGAGAATGTTTAAAGTTGTAGAGTTGGCTATACGACGACCGAGGAACTGATCCATATCTGTTCCCTCTATTGTTCCTTTATCCGATTTCATTGAGAATTGAACAAGACATCTAACTAGTTACTCTGAACACAAGAGAACTAATTGTATCAGGTTCATTATCTGGTTCTATCATGAAGTTTGTCAAATTATAAAAAAAGGATGCATAACTTATCAATTTTTCCCTTTTTGATGATGACAAACATAGAATTGATATTTCCCTTGAGAACCAGATCTCCACATTGTTCCCCTACGAATCATCCATATTCCTCATGAGAACCAGACTAATGGAACTGATCATAACTGGTTCTTCAAGATTGTATGGCAAATCATCAAACACAAAATAACATAACTTATCAAACGTACTAGGTTCCTCCGCTTCTTCTCCATCCACATTCACAATAGGCACTATCTTCTCATTTACAACTATGCCATCTTTCATTAATTTTCTTCTCCTTGACTTAGCTTGACTGTTCTTAAGCGCAGACTCAAGAGCCTCCTTCTACTGCAATCTTGTTGTGGGTCGCTTAGGAGTTGGCTCTTCATGAATAGCTAATCTACGCTTAGGCAGACTGGCAATTGGTAAATCATCAGAATTTGCTTCACTATCCTCCTTTTGTTCTTTAAACACAGGGCTTGTCTCATGCATAATAACACTTAAAGGTTCAACATCTAAATGAGGAGAGAGAGCAGGGTCAATACTGACCTGGGATTCCTAATAGAGACCCTGAGTTGAATTCTCCGAAAGAGGATCAGGTCCTTCAGCAGGTTCCCCAGTAGAACCTTCCTATGTTGAAGGTTCAACTGCCACAAACTCATTGCCCTATCCAACAGGCTCACACTCTTCCCCCTGAGTCTTAAGACCATCCTCACATCCTCCGACAAAAACCCCTTCATTGGCGATGGACAACATATTTTCTATGGCTTCCTTTTCTTGTAGGTCCACGAGAAACTCAGGGGAAGTAGGAGCGTTACCTGTGGACAAGGGATCAGGAGCAGTCTTCGTTGAGTCGATGATTTCATTCCCCTCAATTTGGTCTACCTTTGAACATGAAATTTCCTAATTTTCTTCATTCTCAAGATACTTATTTCATCCCACTTTTCTGGCGAGATAAGAGAAGAGCTCTAGGCAACACCTCTTTTGGCTCTGCGACTCTTTTGAGAACTGGAACTCGAATGGTAGGAGAGGAGACAGAATGTGAGGGTGACTCTGTTCTATGGTTTTGGTTAGCAGTAGTGTGAAGAGGTAAGTCGGGCGTTGGTGTTTCAACTGGTGAGGACTTGGTTGGGATGTTGCTTGGAACACTAAAAATTACTTGATTTTTAGCCATGGTGAGAAAAAGAGAGAGGATTTGGTGAAATGAGGAGAGAAAGAAGAGGAAACAGGTTTTAAAGTGTTGATGTGAAGAGTGTGATGACAATGATAGATGTATTTATGATGAAATAGGGGCGGGATAGAAATGGCGACACTTTTAGGGAGTTGGGTCGATTAATAACGGGTGAGACGTTTGGGTTCCAAAGACACAAAACTAAAAACTGATATGCTGATGTTGTGGCTCTTGTTTTAATCATTCAGAATTATGCATGAGAGAACAAAGAAACTACTAACATGTGTCAGGAGAACCAGGTTCCCTGACTGATCTTTTATTTTTAAGCTTTTCCCTTTTTACTAGAGTATACAACCTCAATTGCTTATTTGCTCTGTAATCATCAAGCGTGTCTACCTGTAACGGTATAGAGATGAGTTAAACTTTGCCAGAAAATACCTTTTAGCTAAGTTTACCTGAACATTTCTTTCATAGCCAATCATTAATAGACCAGGTTCTCAATTAGGTTTTATCAACCCCAGTGCCAGACGATTTTGCTCGTAGTGTTCTCTACTGAGTGCTTTGGTAATATATCTGTAATTTGATCTTCTGTGTTGCAGAACTTCATGCATATAAGCCCTTTTTAAACATTGTCTCTAAGGAAGTGATGACGTACATAAATATACTTGATCCTATTATGTTGAACTAGATTTTTAGCCATGTTAGGTGCACTTGTATTATCACATAAGAGAGGCACACAATCTCAGAACACTCCAAAGTCTTGAAACTATTGCTTGATCCACAGAAGTTGAGCACAATAAGAGGCAGCTGCTACATATTTAGCTTTTGTTGTTGAGAGTGCCACAGAGTTCTGCTTCCTTGTACCCCATGAGATTAAGTAGGAGCCCAGGAAATGTGCCATTCCATAAGTGCTTTTCTTGTCAACCATATATCCTACATAATTAGCGTCAGCATATCCAATAAGATCAAAGCTGTCACCTAAGGGATAATAAAGGACCATGTCCTGTGTTCCTTTGAGATATCTCAGTATTCTCTTGGTAACCTTCAGATGAGATTCCTTTTTATTGGATTGAAACCTTACACAGAAACTCACGTTGAAAATAATGTCTGGTGTGATTGCAGTGAGATACAGGAGCGACCCTATGATCCCTTTATACATGGTTTGATTTACAGGGAAACCAGGTTCATCTATGTTTAGATGGGTGGATGTGGCAATAAGAGTGTCGATGACTTTTGATGCTTCCATACCAAACCTTTTCAGTAGCTCCTTGATGTACTTCTGTTAATTTATCAATGTTCCCTTCTGATATTGCTTCACTTGAAGTCCTAGAAAGAAATTTAATTTTCCCATCATACTCATCTCGAATTCATTCCCTATGTGTTTTGCTAATTCTTCACAGAGAGAGTCAGATATGGCTCCAAAGATGATATCATCAACATACACATGTACAATGAGCAGGTTCCTCCCTCATTTTTTTAGAAAAAGAGTGTTGTCAATTTTCCCTCTTGTAAAGCCATTTTAAGTGCAGAACTCATCAAATTTGACATTGTCAAACTCTGTCCCATGATCAGATCTAATGTAGGCTACTTTATTACCCATCTTCACTTGAATCTTTTTGACAAAGGCAACAAACACTTCAAAGCTTTCATCCTTGGTTTTCAGAAACAAAGTCCAGGTGAATCTGGAGTAATCGTCCAATATAACGAAGATGTATTTCTTTCCTCCCATGCTTGCCACCCTCATAGGTCCACATAGATCCATATAAAGAAGATCAAGTGGCCTGGAGGTACTGACTTCTTTTTTGGGCTTGAATAAGGATCTTACTTGCTTCCCTTTTACATATGCATCACATACTTTGTGATCCTTGAAGCTTGACTTGGGCCGACCATGAACTAGGTCCATCCTGACCAACTATTTAGTAGCGTGAAACTTGCAAGACCCAGACTCTTGTGCCATAATTCATCATCATCATCAACAACACTTAGACTACTTAGATCACCATTCTTCAGAGACTCAAAATCATATACATAGATATTCTTGTATCTTTTTGCCACTAGCACCACCTCACCAGTTACCAGGTTTGTGACTGTAAAGATTTTTGACACAAATTACACATTGTTTCCCTCATCACAGATTTAGGAAACACTTATCAAGTTGTACTTCTACCCGTTCACGTAGTACAAATTTTTAATTGAGTGAGAGAGAGACTTCGCAATCAATCCAACTCCCAGAATGTATTATTTGTTTCCATTTTCAAAGGATATACTCCCTCCCTGCAGGGCCTTAAGTGAAAGGAGATCATTTGTACTTCCAGTCTTATGCTTTGAGCAACCACTATCCATGTACCATTTTAGGCTACTTTCTTTCACTGTTCCCTGCACAAGAAGATAAGGAGTTAGCTTTACTAATTTAGGTCCCTTGTAATGAGGAAAGGGGAGAATGAGGGATCTTTTTTGTCCATGCAAGCATCATGCATTTTTTATATGAGGGGCTAGGTTCTCTACCAGTAGATACTTTTTAAGCAAAAGATTTGTTTTTCTACTATGACTGAAATCCGGCCTTAGAATTTTTATTAAGGTACTCATTATTACCGCAGTGAGTGCAAAGCCAATTATCAGGTACAGTAACGTACTTACTGTGAGGGGTGTAGGGAATCTTTTACCATTGAAACCCAATCCCCTTCCTGTTTCCCCCATTATTGGTGTACATGGTAGTGATGGTGTCATGCCCCAAACTAGGGGGAGGTCAGACCGGCGCCTAGTGCCTTACTTATCCTTGCGTACCAACTTGCGATGAAGGGACTCTAACATATAATGTCATACTTTGGCCATGTGACACATTGCAAGAAAATTTGCAAAGCAAGATATAAAACTAAACGAAAAGTAATGCTAACTAAACATCAAGATAAAGCTGGGCCGACAAGGCCATCATAACTACTACAGCCATCAAACTAAAAAAATATACATACTAGGCCTACAAGCCCAACATACTGCACCAACTGACAGGATATGTCTACAAGCATCTACTGATGGACATACTGTGATCGGAACAGGGCCCCGACCTACTCATAACATATATACATATATATACAAGATGTACATAAATCTCTAGACATGTTAACTCCGAAGGGCATGGAGCTTACCTATGAAGCTGAACTCGGGCAATACCTAATGAGGAGGTCTACCCGTCTGTGTGTCAAAACCTACATGCATGAAATGCAGTGCCCCTAGAAAAGGGACATCGGTACGAAATAATGTACTGAGTATATAAGAAATATACTGAACGTTGAAATTGAATTAATAAGATAATAACTAAAAGCAACTGGAAGTCAAAGATAATCTGAAGATATGCTCACCTGTTGATACTGACTCAACTCTCTCAATATGGTAAGAAAAATATATGTCGAACCTAATAAGGCTCGGTATATCTATAATGGCTCTACAGTAGTAGGCTCGCTCATAGGCGCTCAACCATACTAGGCTCTGTATCTCGGCCATGATGGGCTCGCTTATAGGTGCCCGGCCATAGTAGGCTCGGTATATAACTTACCATCTGATCAGATGTTTCCCAATAGGGGCCTTCCTACCGATTATAGCTCAATAGTGGTGAAAATACTGTAATACTATATATATAACTTCTTCTCTTTTGAATGGAAGAAGACAATACTCAATTGAATATATAGTCCCGATAAGGGAGAATACTGTAACTCATGAAACTAGTAAAATGTATATAAATTCAAGAATAAAAACTTCTCTTTATTCCTCGTTATCAAACTCATGTAGTTACGAGATCATGCCAAAATGAAGGAAGGGCTTATCCTTAACATACCTGAGTGGAGTCTCTTGAAAATCCCTCAAACACATATTAAATGTGACAAAACACGTAACAACAGGTCATAGCAGGGGAAAATCCATATGATATTGTTGACATCATAGCACATTATTTCTTATCCGACTAATATTCGCTCCATACTCTACATCACCAAACAATTCTTTCGGCCTGCTTCTCTCATATCTTCAAAATTTCTCTAAACTATATTATTAACAAAGAAACCAATCAAAGGTAAATAAAGACACACTATACACATTGGTGTTATGACCAAAATAAAGGTATATCAAAGACTTTCACATGTAAAGTAGGCACCATATGTGTTATGATTCATCATAATTTTTTGTTCCACTTTGGCTTATCTTTAATGCCATATGGCATTCCAAAGGAGATCTTCATTCACTTAATTATCATAATTAATACCATAATTATCCCCAGAATTAACCAATTATTCACATATTTAAGAATTATCTCAAATTACATAAAATACTACTCATTTTTAGCACACCTTATACCCCTCGCTATCATGGTCATGTGTTACCTTGTATGACACTAGTCCACACATATCGGGTATTATAGCTTGGACCATATTTTATCTCAAATTGCCAAACTTCGACGAAACTCATCTTCTATGATTTGCTTAATCTCTAACCTTCACGACTTTACTTATCACTTGTTTAAAATAATGTAATACTTATAATCCTAAAATAATCTCATTCCCGAACTTATGTCTCTTAACTTACGACCAAACTTTAATGTATGAAAAATGCGAGATATAACATCGCACTTCAGAGCTTATATCAATTTACTTATGATGTACCTCCGCGTACAAAAATATGGAGTGTTACATTATTCCCCCCTTTGGAACGTTCTTCCTCGAATGTTGACTAATGCACTTATCATTTCCTTAACTTATCTCTTCCGAATACTTTAATTTTTTCCTTTCCATCTAGGCAACTGCTCGGCGAATAACTCCAAAGGCTAGGGCATTCCCCCTTTTAGGCCTCTTTCTCACGTCATGAATTGTGGTTGGAATCCTTCCAATCTCGTAACTGTTGCTACCTTCTGTCACGTAGCATGTACGACTCTAACCTTGTAAATGCAGCTATGCGACTCTTCTCTCCTTTTTCCTCCAGCATTTAGCCAATCTCTAGGCCTCACTTGTAAACATATAAAGAGCTTGACAAGACGTCCCTCTGGGAATCTATAGGTATACTGAAGTTCTTCGCTCGGTACTTTGTTGAACTTATGAATATTGCTATATCTCACTTCATAGACCCGATTATTCATCCGTATGACTTTATTGCATCTAAGTAGGTCATACTATACCATTAAATCTTACTTTGATTTATCACGCTAACAAACTCCAGGTTACTTTCGTAGCTTATCCTATATGTATAAATCTAAGTCCTTTAATGCTTCCTCATTACTGTTCGTCTTAATAATGAACACTTAATCTCATCTCATATTTTGTGACTTGTGTCCATACATTGTTAAGTCACTTCAATATTGATCTACAATATACCACTGATAACTTGAAACATCTTACGTAATCAATAGGGCTCACGTTTCATCGTGGAACATTTGAAGTGATTTTTTTTTATCCACCTCGGGTGATACTATACTATAATACCACAATCGTATTTCATAGCATCCCAATGTGATTTACCTTACGTGGGTATTTTAATCTTGTACAATTCATGAAACCATTACTTAACCGAAAGCCCAAATGTCATCCTTCATCTTTCACAATTACACCCTTATTCTATTACTAGGGCATCATTCCATCTCTTTTAAATGCTACTAGTCTTATACTCTTTTGAGTTTAGTCCAGCTATACTGAGCTTTCCATAATGTAGAGAAGCTATCAACTCTCTTGTTTTCATGGGCTTAATCTTGATGATTTATCCATTCTTGTCACCTTCTCACTTGCCCTTTCTTATCCTTACTCCTGTCATCCTAAAACCTTGTTGCCTTTCCGTACTTTAGCTTGCGACCTATACATATCTATTTATACTACTCGCAACTTTCCTTCAACTTGCTTGCACCATAAATTTCCTTATGTTATTCTGGAACATCAAGTGAGACACTACATCGTCTCTAACTCTTCATTACTTTCTTAAATAGACCTCTCGCTACTTAAAACCCATAGGCTAGAAGGTATATCACTAATGACACTGCTATTATTCCTGAATACTGTATCCCTACGCTTCTAGCCCTCTATCTGAAGCATGGTTTATTCACAACCTTCTGCACCTGTGTATCTCGTATGTTGTTCATCTTTACCTTATTTACCATTAAATCGCGCATCACGTCTTCTATCTCGGTCATGACCTTCCTTCCATATAGGTATAATTTACATCCAACACTTGTTGCTTGATTATAATACTTGCACCTCTGGTGCATACACAATCTAG